CTTGTCTGTCTGTGTGCGGCAGCCGCTGAGATGCTCTGGGTTAGATCTGGCTCAGCTCCCAAGTCACCTTGGATAATGTGTTCTCCTTTCCTAGCCGCAGACCAGAGCTGCCTTCTACAGCCCCAGCCCAGTTGTCCCAGTCCGTCCTGCCACTCGCTGGAGTGCACAGCCCTCCCGGCCTCCCCGTGAGTCGCCCTGTCTCTCCCCGGGGACTCCCGGCACGAGCTGGGCTCGGTTAGGGACTGAGGGTCTCTAAAAGCAGCACAAAGCCCATAGTCACAGGGGGCTGTTGCCTGGAGAAGTACACAGGGGTTTGGTGCAGGGGTCACGGTGATGGGCACCAGGGGATGAGACGTTAGGGTTGACCTCAGCAAGGAGGTGCTCCTGAGCTTTCCCCAGCCACAGTCACTCCCCTCCATGTCTCCTTCCATGCCTTTGCTCCCAGGAAGCTTTATTAATCATGCTCCATCTCTACAGCAGCGTATCCTGCAGCCACCCCCATCGTGAGGGCTGCCGCGCCGCCCCGGCGCCTGCTGTCCAACATCAGCACCATGAGACAGGCCTCCACCCAGGTGCCCCGTGTGCCCCCCCAGGCCCAGAGAGTGGGTGAGTGGGGGAAGGACCCGGCTTGGACATCACCGTAGCGGCTGTGCGTTGGCAAGGGTGCTTGCTGCGAGTTTGGGTCTGCCTCTGAAGATGGATTGGTTTGTGGGATTGCTGGTGGAGGAGCCCGGATGGTGCCCTTGGATGTGATGGGACCGGAGCAGTGTCTGTAGGGAATAAGTGTGTAACTTTTGGGGGAAGGTTGTGGTCTTTCAGGTAATGGGAGAGGTCTCTGATATGCGGATTGGTCTTGTTGGCTGCTGCTCCTTGAATACGTTCATTAAAGATGATGATGGTGTGGCCATGGCACCCAAGGCTCAGTGCTCAGCATGGGTAAGGACCTTTTGGGCAGGAGCAGAGGTTCTTACCGGCTCTGGCTGAAACGCTGCCAAGCCTCCGGTAAAACACACTTGTGTCAGAGGTGTTTGGAGCTGTGGCCTGAGAACCAGATCTTGCTGGCATTCCCAGTGCCTGGCTGTGCTGGAGCTGTCCCCATGTCCCAGGGTGTCCCCTCCACCTTGCCAGCACGACATGGCTGTTCTCCCACGGGGCTGGCGGGGTGGGGACCGAGCCCTTGTCCTGCACACAGGGCCCAGAGCACTGCTCCCCCCGAGAGTGCTTCAACCCCGTGTCAGTCCCGTCACCCCTCTGCCTTTCGTGTGAGGGAGGAAGAGGAAGATGCTCACTGGGGCTCACAGCGTAGCCCCCTC